TGGCACCAAGTGTGCACACACTGGAAAACCGAAATGTCAATATCATTTGTAGAGCGCATTTACAGAATATATAGATGCTGATCTACTGTCAATGTATGGAAGGCATCCTTTGAGCAGACTTCAAGCAGACTAAAAAGTAGTAGGAACAACTATGCATCCATGGTGTCCATATTCATGTCTGCAAGAGCATACTAAGAACCTGAGAGTACACAGTAGAAATCTATTTTTCACAACAATAGCTACGGCTGCTATCAAATTCTATGCTATGTGACTTCTGGAGCCTAAATTTGGCCTCTGATGCAAACAAAAAAGGTTGAATTCTAAAGATAGTAAAGTTATTCTCAGCTTCAAGGAAACAAAAGGTATGGCTAGATTCACTTAGTCTGCTTTAGGTCCCTTACCATCATAACATTTTCCAGGGTGAAGCCAGAGTTCTCTGTACCCAGCTCAGCCAGCAGTCGCTCAAGCAGCTCGGCCCGACTCTGAGCCAAACGAGACGGGAAGTTGGATTTGAAAGGCTTCACCAGCTCACCAGGGATTATCTGCAGGGCCCGCACATCCTTCAAAACAGCAATTTCCTAAACGGGGGGACATGAGAGAGGGGCAATGACTTCATAGTGTTGAAATCAGGTGACGTGTTTGTAGACTTGCACCTTTAAATGAAATAATCTAGCGTGCTGTAAGTCCGTGACAATTTATATTCGTGTGATGCCGCACATTATAATTTATCATTCAACACGTGCATCTGGCAAAGAGACAAGTCACGACAGAAAATGCAAGCGTACAATTAAAGTCAGACGGAAGAAGGCTCTTTGAAAGCCCTCTTTCTGCCGCTTCAGCCTCATCAGGGAATGTTTCTTAGAAATATGGGACACACACAAAAAGCCTGTGAATCATCCTGACGTACAAAGATCTGTCAGAGGTCCAGCGGAGCTCTAAACCCAGCCCAGAACTCAGAAGTATGAGCTACTGGACATCCTCCTTTCTTGCCCAACACCACACACCCATGACTGAGTTAACGAGCACAGAGTCCACTGAGTGCACAGATACAGTCATCCCTCCATCCAGCAGCCCACAAACACAAACAGCGACACATTCATTTCAGATCCTGCTGAGAACTTAGTCGCTCCTGCTTGTCTCTCAGTACTATAATGACTTTGTGACTTAAGGATTGGGTGTGTTGCAGAAAACACAGATCTTGTTCTGTTTAACCGTGCTGGAATTATCATTTTATCAACGAAGGACATTTGGTCAAAACTGGTACATGTTTTTTTTATATATAAATACCAGTTCTCTCTCTGCACATGCTCACCCAAATGAGCTCAGCCTCTCTGGGGAGGCCCACAAGTCTCTCACAGCTGGGAAATTACAATCAGTCTGTGGCTTGTGTTTTTTGGAAGATCCGCCTTGTTTCGGGGAAATAAAGTAGTATACTCCCATGAAACTGCATCAGTCCAGAAAACACAGAGTTCGACCAATGACAGTACCATCAAACATGGGCAATCTTTGGAGGGAAACTGGATCGAGTTTTGCATGTGTTGGCATTCTGTTTACTTACTGTGGGGTGTTTCAGCAAGTCATACATCAATCATTAGCACTCTGTCCGTTTGCCTGATTTCATTTGTAAGTAACAAAGCAGACCAGTTAGGTCACAGCCATCAGCCGTGTGTACACGCTCATTAAAATCCACTTAAGCATACCATTCAGCGCAATCACTTCGTCGTACTTATTTTTTTAATCTATGTTGTTTTATGTTTCCCCAATCACTGCCTGTGACGTACGTGCATTTATCTATCGCAAATGTTATTCATACATCACACCCATGTCAGGAAATGCAGCTCTACCAGCTAGGCGTGCTCCATAGCCATGTCTTCCTCATACCTCAGTGTGTTAGCTGTTAGTCGACCGCCTGCTCGGCAAAAATGGTGTCGGGAAGGGATTCTGATGAAGATCAAATCACAGTTTTTGGCCGATTATTGCGGAAAACCAGGTCCTTCTAAAGGGTTCACATATATTTTTAAGTCACTGTACCACTGAAATACATATTTTTATGGTAATTCAAAGTTTCATTGGTGCACAGTTGTACTGGTTTGGTTCCTGATGTGCTTGGGTTTGCTGTCAGGCTGTCCTGGTAGCTGCTTCACCCTTGTACAGGCAGCTCATTGTACAGGGAGATTAGTATTGTATTTTCTATCAACATGACCAGAGTTCTTAATTTGTATCCAAAAGACTGTATGCTTAACAGTAAAGAGAAGAAAATCACTGATTTATGTTTAATACAAGCTTGACGGTTGATCTCTCTCTGTTGGAAAGACGTCAAAAGACCTACGATCGGACGATGGCTGAAAGAATTATTATTAGCATGCCTTGTCCTTGAAAGATTAACATATACAATGAAGAAGAAATCAGCCAAATTTAAAGAGATTTGGAATCCCTTTCTTGTATTTTTGGAGAACTGTGGAGTTGAGGAGGCTTTGGTGCCTTAAAGGTGACATGTCCCTAGCTGTCAAGTCTCAATCATGTGATGTTAAACTGTGTATGTTTGGACATATATATGTGTGTGTCAATGCCCTTTTTGTGTTTTGCGCTTCGTTTTGTTCTTAGTTTTATTTCCCTTTGGGGTGGGGGGAGAGGATTATTTTATTTTGTAGTTGATTGTATATGTTTTGCTTTGTCAATGCAATTTGTAAACTGTTAAAACTCAATAAATATATGTTTATTAAAAAAAAATAAACAAAATAAGCATGACCAGAGTGACTTAGTGCCACAGTGACATGTCAGTGAGTTACACTACTTGTATGAAGGAAGCGGCTGCAGCTCGAAGGCGGCCGGCAGAGTCTCCGGTCCTGGTCAGCAGGTTAGGGCACGTCTGCTCCAAGCAGTGGGTCACTTCAGCCCGGCCCAGGCCCAGACCCGGGATCAGCTGGCTCAGCATTAGCCGCAGCAGCTTCAGCGAGGCGTGGAAAACCTAAGTTAAGAGACGGTTGAAGTTAAGCTCAGAACTTAGAGGACGCTGCAAGAAAAGCTACCGAGGCTACGTCACTGAGCAGAAAGGCTGCACTTAGCAATGGTTAGCTTGAGCTGGCTGTGGAAATCAGTCACTGTGAACAAAGGGTTTACAGTTATTTTTTTGGTACTCATTACAAGCTAAGGTCAGTTCAACTACCAATATATTATCAATATTTGTGGAATTTTGTGCTTACAGGTAGGTTCAGAGTGTAAATCAACATGACAAACAGTCAGGACTACATTTAGACCAGCAGTGTATTTAACAGTAAACGAAGCAGTTGACATCCGACTGGAGCATTCTGTGCATCAGTGTGGATAGGAAAATAAATCCCCAGAACTACTGCAGTACAGCCCTTTTCACTACCATATAAGCTGTAAGCGACTCTCAGAGAGGCATCACAAGGCGATGCTTGTCAAAACTGTTTGTTTAGCGAAGGCAGCTCTGGGAGAGAGAAGCGGGTCTGCACGCGGTACAGAGTGAACATTGTTGACGGCGTGCATGTGCGAGTGTGCGCTTATGTTTTTACAACATGGATGTTAGTTCTGTTTGAAACAGGAATTCAGGGAACATGATATATAGAAGACTTGTCAGCGACAAAGCAAACACGTCCTGTGAGCCTTAATGTGGATGCTTTTCACACCAAGACTATGTTCTTCTGAGAAAATGACTCACAGATGTGACTTTATCCAGGAGGGCCTTCCTGACTAAGAAAACTGCGGCTCTTATCATGTTTCTCAGCTCCTCCTTGGGGGTGTTGGGTGACACCTCAGAAAGCTTCTTGCACACAGCCTGTAGGGCATCCTCTCTGTAGCACCAGGTTTTAGAATATGCTCCGGCCACCTGGAGGGCAAAAACAGCCGAGGGGTTGCAAGGATATTACACACATTAGTTATGTGGGTATTAGAGCAGGTAGCAGTAGATTTGTGTGTAGCTTTACAAACCATATCCAGAGATTATCAACTGAAATATTTTTCTTTAAAGCCCTACAGCTACAGAGCATACATCCACAGTTTGAATCCCTGACCATTTACAGCATCATAAAACTACCTTTGGAACTGGTTAGTTAAAACAACTGCTCTGGTAAAGACAGGCACATGCTAGAAAATATCCTATGGGACAGCAAATGCTAGCTGGCCAGGTGTTCCACCTTTACTTCTTCTCACCAGGCTTTCTCCGTAAACCTCTATAGGAAGGCCGGCCTCTCTCTGGGCCTTCTCCGTCAGGGGTTCTGGCTCCCCGCTCATCTCCGGGCTGTGTGGAGACCTTTGCGCATCAGATTTAGGGGAGTGCTCCTCTGCAGGGCTGTGGACGGCCTCCACCGGCTGATCTTTCCTCTGAAGGGCTGGCAGCGGCCTCTCATCATAAGGCAGTCTGGTAACCTTACACCACAAACAACAACATTCGCATTTCATTTTGAAATATATTTGTATACAGAAAAATAAACAACTTTTACATTTCTTTTTATTTCATGACCACAGTGTTTAAATGTTGGTATATGTGTGTTTCATATACTTTTTTAGAGGCCCTTCAGTTCAAAAGTTCAGAGAGCTGATATACATGTTCACATCTGAGCAGGACGTCCATTCCTTTGAAAAATTGATAACCTGAGCCTTTGTTCTTTCACTAACTCTTAACAGCATTTGATCACTGAATAAGTCGATCAATCAACATTGGGATGACAATGAACATTTAACCCCATCTATAAAAACCAAAGCTCCAGCCGGTGAGCACTGTCTCCTGTACCCCTGAGCCAACTGGCACCGCTGCCTAGTACAAGGCTCAAAGCCCTGCCTTGAGGCCAGGTTGGCAGCCGCTGGAGTCAGCCAACTGTTGCACGCTTTTAATTAAATAGTGAAACCTAAACCTGCAGTGGGGCCGGTCTTAGTAGATAGTGAGTAAAGCATAAAAGCCCAGGCTGGTCATAATCTCCCAGTGTGCTCAGGGCTCTAACACTATAGACGTTTAGGCAGGAGACATGTTCCCAAGGTACATCAGTGGACCGGCTTATCTTTATAATACAGGAATGCATGTGAGGTGAACAAGCGACACCTACAGATGTCTGCAGCTGGATCAATACTGGGAGAACAACTTATCACTGACCGTCCACAGAGGTGTCACAAACAAGCACTGGACAAGTTATTACTTGTGTGTTTTTCTGTGTTCGATATGATGTGAAATGCAGCTGGCCAAGTACAGACTCGCTCGGCCTTAATTGTAGCTGCACAGAGCCGCGCCTCCGGTCCTGTTATCGGCACGCACGGATGCAGAAAGCATGAAGTGGCCATTCAGTGTCTGCTAGCATCGGACATGTTTGTGTTGAGTTAGACACTTACATCAATCTTGGGTACAGCAGCAGGGGTGCAAGGTGGGTCAGGCAGGCTGCTGAGTTTGGGCACGACTGTTTCTGAGGCTGACAGCTGATTCTGAAGAGTGTCACTTCTTTTCTCCTTCCTGAACGTGTCTGTGGACACAAGGGGCTTGATGGGGGCTGAACGGTGATTTGGAGAGGGCAGATGAGGGGGAGGATGCTGGGCCGGGGAGGAGTCTGCTGCTCCTGTGATCTAGTGATGAGGTAGAAAGACGGAACAGGATTCAGTTTGGGTTCAGTAAGCCATGTATTGATTTTTCCCATATCTCATAACACACTGGACAAAAAACATCAGTTGTATCACACCAACAGTGGGAGGTTGGCAGCTGACCGTTGACATGTCCAGCAGGTTGTGGACTTCCAGCTGCTGGTAGACACTCTTCCTGTACTCCTCCATCATCTCTTTCTTCTTCTTGGCCAGGTCATAATCTTCCTTTTCGATGGCGCATCGCTTCTCCACATCATATCGAGCCAAACGCTCGCCCACCTGAAGAGCCCAAGATAAGGAGAGGTGAAGGACGCCTTGCAGGTACACGGTGAGCTTACGCTGCATGTTTAGACAGGCTGACACGGGAGCAGTTTATGAGGCTCGTCATGTCTTTGATTTATGTCAGTTTGTGCCTATATTGACTATAAGTCTTGTTTACGACCATCACTGCTGGAAACTTCAGGTGAGAGCAGAGCTCCAGTTGATAGATTTACTGCATGAAGAATCACATCATCTTTTTTAGTTTCAAAAGATTAGGTACATGCAATATTCAGGAGCGGGTTTTGGTCCTGGTCTTCAACAGGCTCTGGTCCTTATTTCTTGACCTTGTTCTCGTCTCGCAAGATGACAACAGTTTACTTTGGTTTTCATTCTTCCAACTATTTGTAATACTAACGCTGTAGTCACTGTTTTAACTGCAAACTGGCATCTGTTAGGGCTGTGAAATGTGATGGAGTCACCAAAACAGTACTGATGGGAAAGAGACGGTACTAAAGGAATCAAACAGATTGTACATAAACAATCCTTTAGTCAAACGTATTTAAAATAGAAAAGAAGTTGAACAGTATAATGATAAACTAAACATACATCACAGTTTAAATGTCTAATTTATTAACTGTGTTTTCTGTAATTGTGCACAGTTGTTCATCGTTCCTAGCATTTTAACTGGTCCAGATGAAATCACATAAATCAACCCACCTGTGTGAACATCTTAACGCTCTTATTTTTGGGCTGCATTTGACATAATTGTACTGCTACCACCAGATCTAAGCGATTACTACGATCAGTACGATGTTGTTATTACTGAAGAATCATTATAGAAGCACTGGTCCAAAACACAAAAATGAAACTGAAACTTAGAAAATAAATAAATTCACTGATTCATACTTAAAGGATGGACTTAGATTTGACAGATCTGCCCCGCATCAGTACAGCTCTGGTGCAACACGAGTAGCAGAGCCACACAGTGAATCACTGAGATTTACAAGATGGAAATTTAACAACAACTTCCAGTAAGTCAGACATGTAATTTCTCTGTGAGGAAATTCCATTAGGATGAATTAAGTGGCTTAACCAGGTGCCAACCGACACAGCCTCAGTTGCAAAGCCTCGTGAGTCTTCTCTTTGTGGACAAAATAACCAGCATAAGGCAGCTCTTATTCAGTTCATATCAAGGATTCCCTGCATGCAGCTGAGGATATTCGCTCAGTGCAAAGTCGGACAGTCGCACTCTTCTGTCCCGTCTTCTCTCTGTCATGCACTTTCAGATATCATGTAACAGCACAAACCATCCTCTGACATCCCGAGGGTGCGATGACAAGGGATTTTCAGCATGACTAGCCTGGCTACTGCTTTGTCCGTGATGCTAATATGCCATGCTAACAAGGTGCCAGTATGTGTCTGGTTACACATGGGCTTGTAGTTGGGAGGTTTTGAAAAAAATAAAAAAGAAAACTGTACCAAAGTAGCCTGACTGCAGCTGTTGAGCTTATGAAGAATTCATGGTGTGCATGGTAACGCAGTATACAGAGAAGGTCAGTGACAGGAATCTGAACAATGCTTAACAACTACTGTTACAGACGGTGTCGAAATCGCACTACATGGATGTTTAACTGATGTTTAGATGTTGATGTTTGCTTTTGGAATTGTGGACCTGGCAAGCAAGTTATTTACTATCTGCAGAGTAAAACCTGCTCCAAAACACACCACGTCGCATTAGCCTGAGCATCTTTGTGCTGCAATAAAGGGGCATCCTTCAAACCCCGTTGCTTCGGTGGCAAAATGAATACTCTATCCTTCCCAGCAGCTACCTTCTGTAGGTCAGCGATGGCCTGCTTCAGATTCTTGGCCTGCTCGTATTTCTCCTGCCGGACCACGTCCTGCTTCTTCTGGTCCAGGAGGCGGATGATGTGGGCGACTTCCGGGTCCTGGTACATATCGAATGCCAGGTCGTCCAAGGGGGAGATGGACTCACATTTACTGGAAGCAAAGACACGTGTTTGAAACATTAATGAAACACAGAAAACAGAAAAACAGTTAAATTAATTTGAGGTAATGCCAGAATCTTTATTACTTAAATGGGCTGCTTGTTGTGCAATTCCTGATGAAAAGGGAAAAACACTAACTGCCCCCAAAGAGCGAGACCCTGATGTGAACCGCCCCTTGGGGGTTGATATAAAAATAAAAAAAAAATGGAGATGTGTTTTTTCTTTGCACTGGCCGCCACCTGCATTGTCTTCAAATGCATGTGACCTTAAATGCCTTATTGGTTATCTTCCAGACAAAATGACTTTGTTGAACAGTGTTTTTGTCACAAGACAAAGAAACCAGGGTTCAACGGCCCAGTCTCACCCCATGAAGGTCGTGTCCAAGGCGACTTCCAGCGGGGTACTATTGAGGTAGTGTTCGATCAGCTGCTCTCTGCTTGGCTGGGGGTAAACAGATGGACAAATTACACACACGTGATATATATACGCTTGTATTACTGTGCTCAGGACTATTGTTTTAGAATCTCATTAGCTTTCAGGAGAACCTCAGCTTCACCTCCTACCTTATCCTGAAACTAACCATAACTCTGCTTCTGCTTCTTCTTCTTCTTGTTAATAGTGGTGATCTGCCTAAATGTCTAAATGTCTTCACCAACAAACGCCTGGACCTTGCAATAGCAGTAAGACACACACACACACACAGAAAAAATACATTCAGGGACTTAGACTGTTGTACGACACTGTGGACACTGCTGTTACCTTGAACGCTAATCATTACCCGAATAGAAAACCACGTCTATTGATGAGCTCATTCTTACAGACTTCCTGGTGGGAGAGAAGGCCACTACCGTCGTACAAACCCACAAGGACAACACTGCACACTACAACCGTACAGTATGGTGTTATTCTTCTTTCAATGAGAAGAAAAAAGAAACCAAAATATGCGTTTGTATGTCACTATTTCATATACATGGACCAGCCACACCATCCATCCATCCATCCATTAACTCTATACCTTAATCCCCACTAGGCTCATGGGGGGCTGGAGTCTATCCCAGCCGACAGACAGAATTACAAAAGATTACAGGATTATCTTTCAGTCACATCCTTGTTCTAGTCGGACAAATATGCCTGTTTATGTTTGTGGAAATCACCTCTTCTCTCTGTCATATTTTCACATTTCTTTTCCTGAAGGAGAGTTTCCTGTCTGTACAGACTGCAGGATTGTGTCATGACGGGTGAATCCCAGTGTCTCAGGCCATGTGTTTGTGTTGTTTCCTAGCGTATGTGTGCAGCCTCCTCACAGCGCTGTGATCTGGAATTAATCAGTGGCTCTAATTAACAGCAGGTGCTCCAGCTGCAGGTATTAGTGCTCTGAGTGAGTTACTGCACAGATACTTTTTCTGACAGCTTCCTGGAACCCTCTGAAGGACCTATTGTTAATTTCTTGTGCCTGGACTTCCTTGAAGACAAACTATTATTAGACAGCATTGGTCACCAAGGGCGTAATCTTCAGTCAGACACTGGGGGCGACCCAGGATTGAGCTGATAAAAAACGTCCAACGTCTATACATCGCTTAATCCTCACCAGGGTCATGGGGGGCTGGAGCCTATCCCAGCTGACTCAGGGTGAAGGCAGGTTCACCTGGACAGGTAACCAGTCTATCACAGGGCTACACTTAGAGACAGACAACCAAGCACACTCACATTCACACCTACGGACAATTTACAATCACCAATTAACCTCAGCATGTTTGTGGACTGTGGGAGGAAGCCGGAGAACCCGGAGAGAACCCACGCTGCACGGGGAGAACATGGAGACTCCACGCAGGAAGATCCCGGGTGTCCTCACCGGGACGTGAACTGGCGACCTTCTAGCTGTGAGGCCACGATGCTAACCACTGATCCACCTGTAGCCCTGGTCGATGCATAAACCTGAAATTGCTCCTATAAACTCTGGTAACAGAATGTTCTGCGAATTATCCAATTATCCATTTAAAAAAGTTTACAGAAAACTAAATCTCTTTAAAAGAGACGACTATAAAGCGTAAGAAAGAGATTAAACTCAGGTCTTTTCCCCAGAACACGTTTCACAAAAGTACAGGTGTTAAAGATTAAAACAATGATGGCTGAATTCCATTTAAAGCTTCAGGTTCAGGATGCTGTTGTGTCGTCAAGCTGGATCACTGCTACTGGGACTGTGCACAAAGGAGAGCCATCGCTAAGCGCTTCTTGTGCAATGACAAATGTAACACAGTTGCACTGCCGCTGAGGACGGCGACATGTAAACACCAAACAATTCAATGATGTGAGCGTAATTTCAGAAAAAGCTAAATCAGTGAGCGGAGGTTTGGCAAACTGAGAGAGGGCGCTTTAAGTGGGAATAACTGTGTCTCGTAATTTGGGTGAACCGGCCTTTCAAATCAGCAAATAACTAAGCTTTCTCCCTGCATTCGCGCCACAGCGTCCCTCGACAGGACAAACACAACTTCCACCCATAGAGCAGATATAGGAGAACAGGATCTAGCCGACCCTCCAGGCAAGATCACCGCTGTGATGGAGGTGCTCAGAGTCGGATTAGTGGACCAACAATGCACAGCCTGTTCGCTGGAATCTGTGCGGGTGTGTGTCCGTGTCTTTCCATCTCTCTGTCTGTGTGTGTGTGTGTGTGTGTGTGTGTGTGTGTGTTTTAAGGTGTTCTCACTCCTCCAGGAGCTGTCCATCTGCAGGACTATCTGATTACACCGACTAACTAAAGGGCTCCTGTTTGATTACATACTGCCCTCCCTTTGTGTCTCATTACTACATGCCTGACACATATATATACACTTTTTTACACACACACACACACACACACATGCACACACACACGCACACACAGTATACCCTCACCATGTAATCATGTAATACAACCATAACATCGAATACTTTTTAAAATCTGAAAGGTAAGTTAACTCATTCTCTTTGTTTGCCCGTTCCCATCAGCAGAACTACTTTGTATTCTAAAAAAACTAAAATAAAGTAAGCGTAGGTCTTTGCACAGAGCAAAAACCCTCCATCACGACAGTAAAAACAAGGCGATGGATTTCAGCTTACTGATTTTATGAAGCTTTATGGAGGATAAATGAATGGTATGTGCTCAACAGGCCTGTTCCTGATTCTGACATGCCGAAAACTTCAACTGTCACAGCAGCAAACATCAATCGGTCCTATTTCTGAGTGACTGGCGACGGAGCGACGTCTCACAGAACCACAGCACAACACCACCACCTACTGCTGTGTACATGTAAATGCAGCTACGCATGGCAGGCGATGAGGAGAGCGCTCACTTACGATTGTGTTAAAGGCATTGCCATCCAAAGAATCTCCCAGAACATTAATGGCAACCAAAGCAACCTGAAATCATAAACAGATGTTGATGACAGTGAGAGGGAGCTGAATGAACTGGGAGAGAAAATTAACAAATAAATAAATAAAAAATCAATGCATGCGACGGGCGTTTGGATGTTGATGATGAGTCTGTATGAGGAGCAAAGATGGTGATTTTTTAAAATGTATTTATTGTCAACCAATCCCATGAAAAACTAAGACAAACAAAGAGCTGATTGTACTAACATACACAGGAAAAACACACATGATTGCAGTAGGTGAGCACACAAAAATACGATCATTTATTCAGAGTCAATCCCACGTATGCTGCCTGCAGCTGTAAATACTCACAATACAGCGATCCTATATGAATGTGAGCCAGAAAACAGCCCTGAACTAATCCTCTATTTACTACTGTTTGTGTAACATTTGTTAAAAACTACATTTCCCAGCAGTTTTGTTTTTTTTTTTTTTTAATATTTCATACCAGCAACTTTCTTCTGACTGATTGCCAAAATTAGAATTAATTAACTGCCTGTTTCTGTCAATATTGTGACTAATAATTTCAGCTCTAATGCAAATAAAGCGACGTGAAGTTAGGAATAAAACTGGTGATGTGATATCAGCAAAGTAATAAATCACATTAGTCATAAAACAGTACCTGCAGAAGGCTTAAGCCCTCCTAAAATGGTTTATTGTTAAATATAATCCAGTCTCATATGACCACAACACACCACAATACTGAGATGGAGAACATATGATCAGAGAGCGGTGTTGTGGCCGGTTGCTGCTGGACACCAGGCTGATGGCAGATTCCTCCTAAGAGCCTCAGAAATCAAGACAAAACAACTGCTATGTTCAAACACTGACCTTGTACAAAGGGCCTCATTTTTAAATTAGACTTTGCAGTTTATTTCTCATTAATGCAACCTAATTAGTTCTTGAAGCCAACTGCAAATAATCTTTATCAGAATACAGACAAACTGACTTGCTCTCAACCTCTCGCGGCGTCGCGTCTTCGCCAGACAGACGGGAAAAGCGGTGACATGATGGTGTCGGTGCAACGCTGCCATCTAACAGAGTACCTGATCGTAGTGATTGTAACGGTTGACGTGGTTCCTGTGGAAGGTGATTCTCAGGTACGTTCCAGCGGCATCCACGTGGACCGACTTCAGCTCCCGAGCTTTGAAACCCGTCTTCTCATTGTCTGACAAAGACACGTATCTGGGAGGAGAGTGAGATGTTCGTATTTAAGGTCTGTGTCTGTGTATACTGCTGCATCTGAATTTTTTAAACAACCCTGTATTGACCGATGTTAAAATGCACAAAAGGGTTTAAAAAGTGAGCCTCGGCCGAATCTGTTGTCTCACCCGAGCCTCCGAAGCTGCCCGGGGAATCCTGGAGAGCTGCTTTCTGGAAGAGTGTCTCCAATGTGGAACTCAACCTTGGCTGGGATGAGATACTGGTGAGCGAGCAGCTGCAGCTTTCTTACCCTGCTTCTCTCCGCCAGCTGGAGGGTGATGTGCTGAGGGTAGGAGCACAGCCTGCAGGATATGATACGATTCACAGAAGCTTGAGTTGGTTTAAGGGGAAAGGACAGACTTAAGAAACCAGAGAAAACTGACAAGAGAAACAGACATCAAGTATGTTCTAGATCTGATAATAATATTGTTTTAGGAAGGGGAACAAAGACTAAAGATTACAGACAATATGAGAGATGGAGCAGAAATGTCCCTATGTCTTTATTAAAATCATGAACCTGCCAGAAACGATCTCTGACACGTTGAAAGTGAGGCATTGTGTTGATGTACCTGCTGGACCTCCAGCCACTGACTGTGGGCGCATGGACCATGAGCTCCTTGGCACTGAAGTTGTCCTCATGACTCGAAGAGTTGATCACAATGAATCCTATCTTCCTAGGCATCCCTGTGATGGATACTAACAAAACACAGAAAACACAGGTGGTTCTAAATTGTCCGTAGGTGTGAATGTGAGTGTGCTTGGTTGTCTGTCTCTAAGTGTAGCCCTGTGATAGACTGGTTACCTGTCCAGGTGAACCTGCCTTCACCCTGAGTCAGCTGGGATAGACTCCAGCCCCCCATGACCCCAGTGAGGATCCTCGTCAGGATCACACTGAGGATCCATGATGGATGGACTTTATGAGAGACCCTTTTCCCCTAATCATCAGCTGCATCTCTTCTCCTGGACTATTTACCCAAATTACTATTACGCTAAATTCATAAAAACAAGTATTTCCAAGGCACGTCTTTACATTTATAGCTCCATAAATCTCACCGTGCACTAGTGCGATATACATGGAAAGAAAGTGCGATGACATTACATTGTGTAAAGAACAGCGTCTCACATTTCATGTTAATTTTATCCAGAAATACTTTGAAAATTGTGCAGTTTTCAGGTTAAATCTAAAGATTTCTGGGCTGGGCTAAGCACCCAGGGTGCTACCATCTGAACAACATCTCTGGGCATCGCTCATTAAACTCCAGCACCTACTGAACATTTTATCCAACCGCCTTTAGAGAATATCCTCTCACAGCAATACTGAATCTGGACTAATGCAGCTGGGATTGTGTCATGTTGCTTCACCTATTAATACAACAATTACTTATTTAATTAACAATAAAATAGAAAACAATGTCAACAATAAAAGAATACCTTTAAGGCAAACAATTGTATGTTGTGTTCTCTAATCACAGAGGCTCTGAGTGTGCCGGATGCTGGAGGCTTAAAGACCTGCTCAAGGCTTTGCTGGAGTCTCTCAGCAGAGGTGGAAGCTGCACATGGAAAAACCTAACCCGGCTGGTTGTCGTTTCACATGTGCTTCTCTTCAGCGTACAGCCATACGAGCACACAGCCCTCCTGAGCAGAACAGAGGAGCCCTTCTTGCTAACTTGAGCATGTTGAAGCCGGACGGGGGGCATTAGCTAACCTACCCCACCAGCCAGCACGGCTAACCGCACGGACCTGGTTTATAAACGGACTAAAATCCCATAAATGTCCTGACAGCTATCAGTCTTTATATCCTACATTTTGGTTTTGTACAGATTAAAGTAAACGGACGTTTTCTTGCGTGTATTTCCAAGATATCTTACCGCGAACATTACCGTAGAGTTGACAGCTCGCAGTCCCATCTCATCTCCATAACCACCGCCGACAACAACCACGGCGGACATGCGCAGATGTACGGCAGTTGTCAGTATCGGTGGATTGTGGTCAATGTAGTTTTATTTGTAGTTTTTGAAGCAGTTACGTTTAAAGCAGCGTTGCGCAGAGACACGCATTTGGTTATATCTGTTTGTACGCGTATTTCATGGTGATATTAATATCTGTTAACACACACAAACGTTTAGAGAAGCTTTTTCTCAACTCCTTCCGCAGTCCGTTCTTCTTCCTGGTTAAAAAAGCTGCTATAATACCGCAACAAGTCAGCTCTTCAGAATAAAGGCATGAGAGATCCAAGTTTATTTCTCCTTTACAAAGTGAAAAAGCACGGATCACCTAAATAGAATGCAATAGAATAGAATAGAATAATTTTTTATTGATGCCCCAATGGTGGAAATTTACACGCCACAGCAGCATCCAAAAATATAG